TCTGAATTCAAAGTTCCAAGATAAGTAGACTACCCCTCCCTGGTTAGTTACGTTGAAAGTGCGGGAGCAATGTTCTCAAGTTTACACATTTATCTTTGTAAGCATATTTGATGCTGAAACCGTCTTGATTAGCTTGATTCACCCCACTCGACTGCTCTGTTTGTTTTGAGTGACTTACCAAACAGTAACAGGAGTGAGTGGAATGTAGTTGAATGTTTTCTTGTTTCAAAAGTAAGTGTGCTCAGAAGGGATATTTCTGAGGGTATGGATTTACAACCTTCTATCCTGTAATAATCGTGTAAGTCCTCAGGTGACAATCCCCTTGATGCCATGAAAGACTGATCCTTTCGAGGCGGAACATCTTGTGGGTGGGGTTACACAGCTGGCGCCCTAGCCTGCCTAAGAATAAAAAGACTCTCTTGCGCCACTTTTTGACATACCTTACGCTTGTTATACTAAGATTGAAGCCTCCTTGCTCACTACTGTTTTCGAAATTTCCCCGTTCGTCTTTTTCTCCTGCGAACAATACCCGAACGAGGATAACAACCTTCCGCTGTTTTAATCAGAACGGAACGAACATAACACGCCAAAAACAAAACTAGGCTTATGGTTTTCAAAATCTGTGGACGATATAGAGAACATGGAGCGCATGTCTAATACAAATTCAAAGTAGTTTCTGGACCAGGTCAAGAGCTGTGACCGGCATACATATCTCATTATTCTAAGACTCCCATTTAATCCAATCTTCTCAATATACGGATTCTATTTGCTTGACAATTTTGATTTTTGCTGTCCGTGATGGATTCCGCGAAATGTTATGCATTTTCCTTAGTTTCTTTACACATCCAATAGAAATTGTCTTAAAATTCTCATTTAAGGGCCATTATTTTTATTGTAATTCTGTCATTTCGGAATCCACTCATACATTATCAGTTTGAAACAAATTTGCTCCTTTTGAGGTACCTTTACACTTCGAGAGCATTGGAAACTCAGACTCCACCTCGCTGATCGAATCTGCACTTCCCTTCTTCTCAACAATTTCATTTGCCATTATATGAAAATAACAAAATTTAGTAAAATGTCAGAATCGTTGGTGCGCTCATCGCGTTCATCGGAGCGATTCACCTTGGCGGACCCTCGAACTTTAGGGATGGCCAGAATAGCTGCAGAATTTTTCGAATTTGTCAGCAAATTGTCATTGTTGGCGAAGAGTTGATGACGTTGTCCGACGATTTCAAGCCCCATCAGTCGAGGACAACAATTTGTTGGTTTAGCGGGCGACCGGCCCTGAACCGCTAACTGCCGCTACCATAACCGTGTTCAGCCCGAGAGCGCTAAATACCGCCGCCTCGCCTGCTTCTCTCTCCGAGAAATGTCACGTATTGTCGGTCAGATCAGATAATAGTGAGTGAGACGTACGGCAGTTCATTGGTGGGCTTCTAAAGCTTGTTCATGTGTAAACGGTCTTCGTCCCTAATCAAATAAGAATAGGTCGAACGCTTCTATTTGATGGTTTCCACAAAAAAAAGAGCCAAGGATTTAATTTATGCTAAAAACCATGATGACGTCGGAAGAAATGCGACTGCTTAAATCGTGAATTCTGTATCGAACCTCTTTGAGCCATCTCATCTCACTTTGATGCCATTTATTCCTCCCTTAAGCAGTCACCTATCCCTGTCATCATTAGGCATGAACGACTTGATCTCAAATACAAGGAATGATGATTACTCACAACTGGAGATCTTCTTCGCTCCCCCTCATTGGGTAAGCACTTATTAATGGGTATTCACATCTGTTTCACATGCCATTCCCATCGTTTAGAGCGGCACTTTCAAACAACCATCGATGGGCTGTTCCCAGTTCCGTTCAGTTCCTGCTTAAGACAATGTCAGCTTATCCTCCCTGTCTGCGCCTTTGGACATGGCGCCTCATTGTCCCAGAAACGTGTTCATTTCGCATGATTTTCGTTCTTTATTCGACTGTACGGTGGATATTCCTGGGAGCGCTTCCCAGATACTGTAAGGGGTCTGTTTGAATTTGGTGATTATCTACGAACACCGAAACATCGAAGGAGTTGTACCTCAGACGCCCACTTGGGTAGATTTATCGATGGATGTTTCCGTCTGCTTCCGTCTGTCCCTCTCTATCCCTCAGTAGTTTTCTTCGTGCTCATTTATCATCGTTGTGCTGGTTAACATGAGGCTCCCGCCCTGATGTTGCCAAGTTCGTGGGAATACAAATTGCTATTGTCCTTGAGCCAATGTGAGCGAGCAGTTTGAATCCTTGCGCAACATCTTGTTAGAAAAAACCCGCACTCGACCTGAGAAAATGGCGGTGGTCTCTTTTCCGGCATGATCGTTTCCGTTCTGGGCCATCTTTTACAGTTATCAGCACGCAATCAATTTTTAGAAGGGACGAAACAAATCAGCTTTCGCTCTCTCGTTTAAGTAATCTCATGTAGATGTCTGTAACTTCTTAATTTCTCATTTCCATGCTGTCCGTACGACTTCTTCTATTCCTTGAACGTTGATCTAGAAGTTACTTGAGCTATGAACATTGAACTCTTCTTACACTTAGTCGGTTGTGAGTTGCTTTTTTGTACAGTCTTTCTCCTGAGTCAGTAGCGAACTGCCACCGTTGGGTTCGTTCAGCCATTTATGAGAAAAGCAACGCTGAACCTCCGATTTGTTTTGGCTTTTTATTATCCGACTGATTTCCCTTTGAGAGTGTGTGAGTTTGAATTTTGGATAACCTTGAGTGTTTGTTTTGATCAATCAGGCGGAAGTATCAAATGGAGAAGTGGTCGATCTGATGGCCGGTAATTATTATGCACTCTTCGGATATTGTTCCGAACAAAAGAGTCAATAAGGTGAAGGGAGCAATCCGTCTTGTACTTTCATGGGGGCCTCAGATGACCTGCCTTTACAGGCCTTACATTCTCAAAGCATCTCGACAAAAGGTTAAGGAATACTGTTCCATTGATACCAAGGAGCCACAAATTGTTTGTTTGATGGTATCAGATCAAATCGAGGATAGAGGTGTTGTAGTGGCTAGTGGCGCACTATCGCACCGGTATGGTCAAAGGTTCGAATTTCGGATCGATGTTTGATAGACCAGAGTCTTCCAACCTCCGGGTTCGGTTAATTGGTGCAAAAAGCGTCTGAGAGGATATTCTGACTTGTACATTAGCTGCCCCCGCATGTCATTCTTTGTATGAGCCACATATGCATACAATAAGCCACAACGATTTTGTGTTGAAATCGAATGCGAGGGTGCATCCCTTAGACGGGATTGAATAATGCTAGTTGACTTTATCCTTCATCCTGGGTCGATCGAAATAATACTACCCACGGTTGTAAATAATGGACCCACGTTATGAATCTGATTTATGGAAATTTTGCAACAAGTTTGGTGAACTTCACTACCGTTTAAAGAACTGTGAAGTGGAAAGTAATTGGCCTAACCAGATTTCACTGTTTAATTGAGGAGCTTTACATAGTGAAAACACATTGACGACTTTAGCACAACTTATTTTTCACAGGATGGTTCCCATATTTATGTAGCTTGGGCAAGATGGAACTTATTGTGAGCAATTATGCTTTCTTTAGACAAGTTTCTTTTTAGCCAGCCTTTGATGTTGATGAACAAAAGGTGTGAAGAAGGTGTAACAATGAGCAATTACGACTCGCCTTTCATGGTGCTCAAGAACGGACCTTGTCGTTAGAGCTTATCTGTCAAGTGTAGGATACCAGCTGGGGGGTGGTACATCCTTGTATGAAGGAGGTCGGTCCTTATTCCGATTCCTCCTCTCGTTCTTCTCGTGTTACTATCGCTTTTCCTCGTGTCACTTTTCCTTTCAAGACCCCCTTTTAAATCTAGTGGGTGAATAATTATTGCACTTCCTTTATATGCTTGACTACAATTGCACTGTATTCCAGACAGAATGCTATAGTGTTCACTTCTGCAAATGTTTTTGAGATTCAAATGGATTTAGAATAAGTGATCTAAGAATTCAACTTTTTTTATTTGAAATTGTTCCTCGATATGGTAATCCTCCTCCTTACTTCCGATAGAGTATCTGTGGGAAGATTGGCGTTTCTCATTGCAGTCGATCTACTGACAGTACTCGCAGGCATCAACGTTCCCCTTGAGCATGTTAGGCTCGTCGGTGCAGTCTTCGCACTATTGGGGCGTGCTGTTTATTAGTTGTTCTGTTAGTTTAGAGTATCCAGCTTAGAGAACTTTCATATGGAGAGATACTCTTCAAATTGCCCTACTCCTTTTCAACATAATTTTTTTCGTCCAATTGCACATTTATTTCCCTTTTTGAAAGTCTCTTGTACAACGAAAAGGTCATATGCTGAAAAAGTCGCTTGAACAATGACTGAACTTTGAACCTTTTTCGAAGGAATCGTGTATTTTTTTCGTCATTATTCCAGTATTGGTTTTCTAAAATCGTAAGATTTCCATGTCCTCTATAAATGCGCCTCTTAATTACGGTCGGTATTCATAATTTGCAAAAAGGTAGAGATTTATTGAAGTTTTCAGCTCAAGATGAAAACGAGTCGTGCTAGACTTTTCTGGCGTCAGGCTAAGAATAAACTGCTTGACTGCCAGCAGAAGATGGGAGTTGTTAGGAAGAAGTCACCGGTTCCGTCATCCATCAAGTTAGATGAGCCAGTTTTGGAAGAAGTCTTGAAAAGGCTCGATCTTAATGAACGCGTTCAACTAAGAAGTGTGAGTGCTGAGGAGCAGGCCTTCGTAATATTTTCTGCTTCAATCATTCGGAATTTCAGCTTTCCTCTCAAGTGTCTGATCTCGTCGATCGAATGCCGCTTGTTCTACCTTTCGTATTTATTCGGTCAGATGGATGCGGGGACATCGAGCTCCACTGCGATCGAATGGATATACTTCAATGTAAGGGTTTTGTGGGCTTTTGTGGAATATTATGGAGAGAAACTGTTGCGTAAATTTAAATCCCCCAATGTATTGAGAAAATACGTTAGTGCTCCTTTTTTCGAGGAAATTGATGAATTGAATCGAGGACCTGTGGAGGGCTATAGAAAAATGGAGTAGCTATCTCAATCGGCTGGGCTCGAATCGCTATAGTATGCTCAGATCTTACCAAAGTTCGCGAAAACATGCGCGCAAGCTGTTCATAACTGCCAACACGTGCAAGTTAGGGGTCTGGCATGTCAGCGATCGGGAAATAGCTGTGTGCAAAGTTATCAGACCTGGACTTTTATGAAATCCCGTTTTATTTTTCAATTTGTGTTTGCCGACACACACAAACCTCTGGTACGCTTTCCTAAAAAAAAATATTTGAAGCTTATGTCCTCACTGACCAATCGGCCTTCGAAATACGCAACGGCGCCATCGTGTTCTCTTACGGTAATGCATCCGCGGTAATCACAGCAGTTGGTGAGTTCTATTTTTTGTCGAGTTCCACCTTGAAAGATTTACTCCCGTATTTCGCAGGATATTGATGTATATATTCATTTCAGTTTCTCGAATCACTGGGATTGCGCATCTGTGGCTGGATTCTGAATGGAATGGTCATATTGTACAGGCCATCGTAGAATATTATCAGTCAATTAACAACGGGAGCAGAAGAATTAGGTACTTTTTGGGGATTCAAACAAACTACCACGAAAATTCTATTCAGTTAGTCCACGGTAGGATCCTGTCCCTAGTCGAAGCTTTCCCAACACCTCAAAACTTTGGTGAATCTCACCCACGATTAGATGCCATGTAGGAACCGTTCACCAAAAAAATTCAGTTCCTGTGACCTTCGACAATCTTTCCGGCAGCTCACCAGCCTGTTATTCTCACTTTGTTGGAATGGGTCGTCATTAGGTCTGCCCATATTATAGGAATACATTACGGTGGCACAGCATTCTTGGGTCTTATGTTCATCTTCCCTTTTAAGCGGCTGAACAGGACATTATGACCTAGGCGTGGTGGTAACAAATGTCCACCGCGGCTTCATCATTTCATCACAGTGGTGTTTTAATTTTTGTAGACTCCACATGGAACAGCTCACAGTGGTTGGCAGCATAAGAAGCAAAGACATTGACTGGGTGAGTTCTGGGCTGGCGTTCTTGATTGCATTCCTCTCATTCCTTACTTCAATTCCAGATCTCATCGTTGATTCTACTCTCTCGTCGCACGCTTCAGCACTTGCGCTTTCGCCACTGCCGGCTGCACTCTCAACCACAAACAGTTCAGTTCTGGTCAGCCATCTCACAATGCCAGCAACTGGCTGGTTTACAATACGAACCTTGTCGTTTGGACAAATGGAGCAGGCCACATTTGATTGATGCCTTGGACAATAAGTCGTTGAAGTAAGCTCAGCCTTAAGAAATGAATTAGACGCCAATAATTGCCCTCGATGACCATTAGGGTGAAAGACTGGTGTTTTTTGCATGAGTTAACCCTTTGACGACAATGCGGAATGCAACGTGACGCGCCCATGGGACCACGCTCCCCTCTTTTCGCGCGCGACTGGCACCCACCTGTGAGTGGCACTGTCCCAGGAGAAAGTTCTTTCACTGGCTTGCTGAATTTAGCAATGGATAAGAACAGTAAAGTATGGTGGCATCCAAAATTGTGTGCCAATGTCCCATGCGCCAGTCGTGGTGGCACCCACCGGTGGGTGCCATTGTCGTCAAAGGGTTAAGTACTAGGAATTTAACCCAGATTCAGGATATCTCAGAAGCCCTTCTCAAGCCAGAGGTTCCCATATCTACACTAGCCGTTTTCAGGTCTCTAATTCTAACCGGCATCGATGGCCTCAAACCTGCAGATCTCATTCGAATTGCTGCTGATTCACAACTCGTAGAGTTGGCCGTCGTGGGGGAACTGATCAAGCCTTCAATATACGCTCAGAAGGAAGCATTGAAGATGCTCGACACCGTTAAAAATCTCCTCATACAGGTTTGTGGCAAATTGGTTCTCGGCTATCACAACATCCCTTATAATATGAAAGGTTCTATAGGTGGATTCAACCTTTTCTATCGACGATCCCATTGAACGTGGAGCGATTCTGCAGATGATGATGACCCTTCCTGCCAGTAGCACCTTGGAAGTGATTCACGTGAGTCGAGGAACGGTCTCGGATACCACAAAGCTCATCAGTTACTGGATTCGACTGGCAAGGTTCTTTTTCATTCCTCACTGTAGACATTCCATAAGATCGGCAGCTCTTTCAACCGCTTTCAACTTACTTTCAACAGTTTTCTATCCTTTTTTATCTCTTCGTGAAAATGTGAATGTGAGGCACAGTTCATGGTATTTTTGGGGTGTCTACTTCAAAACGAACAATGAACTGATAACCCAGAATAGAGCGAAAGTGGCGCAGTACATGCATTTATCGGAGTATTTTGAGTAATCTGCGGTTGGACGAGAATGCGACGACAAAATTTGCATAGGAGGGGTATTTGGACGAGCTGTCAATTTGTGTGTCAGTGCGTGACTGACTATAGCAAACTGCCTGCATGCAACGTATGGGTCCCGGTGCGGATGGTGCAACCTCTAAAACCTCTACAGAGAAACTCGTCCGTCATTGAGTGTGTACATCGGCTAAGCCGGGTTTAGGACCCTTACCACGACCTATCTAGACCGTTTTTCGACCTCACAGCTTTCCTTGTCGCGAACTATGATTTTAGAGTCTAATAGTCGGGGACAGAGTTCGTTCTAGTTCTAACGTGCATTGTTATTTTATTGGGAACTAATTGATTGAGAATGCATATTCTTGGCTAGAGGAACATTCTATCAAATGCATGCTTAAGAGATTCATCCCGTGAAGTGAAGCTGAAGTTGGAGGAGTGCTCGCAGGAGCGAGCTGACGCCGCCGTCGGAAGGCTTTTGCGGAAAACTCGCGACGTGACTCGAACTGCCTGGACGAAGTGTGGTGTGCGATTGGAAATGGACACAGGCCGGTTGATAGTGCTCGACAAGCGCTCCTGGTTCGAGTAGTGGAAACGAGAAGCAACTGTACTCTCACCTCGGTAAGTCACCCATAGGCTCTAACGGTCATTCTTAGTCTGCGCCATCTTAGGCTGGGTATGACAACGCTAATGCATGCGTATTTCTTGTTGCAACAAAACCTCGCGGCTTCATCAGAGTCATTGAAGGCGATTTTTTGATAATGGCTCTCTAGAAGGGATGAATAAGAGTAAAAAAAAGAAAGTGGGAAGGTGAGGAACTGTTTATCTGAGGAAGCCTCAAATCTTTATGGGACTCCATGGAAGTTCGACTACCAGCGCTTCATAATTTAGATTCCTGAGGATAATATGATCACTGTGTGTATATCTGGAGATAAACTTCTATTTCTTTTATTTTGTAACATAGGTACCCTATTTTCAGGTATGAGTTCCTCGGTAATTTCGGAGTCGCCAAAATAAAGCTCTCGTCGTATTCGAATTAAAGTTTGTGACAGAGTTTTACGATAGGATGTTAAAGTGCAATGTGAAGCTTGACTTGTGTGAAATGTTAACATCCGAATGTGTTTTTTATTTAGCTTTTTGCATGTGTATTTGCGAGGTCGGGCATAGGGTACAGACTTAGCGACCATGCCTTTCAATGTTTTCCACCATTCTCTATAGTGTATTTGAAAGCGTGATATTTAGGATGTAAATTGCTGAGTCGTTGAGTCTGGACTCTAAATGAGGCCTTTTATTAGCTTGGTTATGATCTTTTCTTAATTTTTAATCTACGGGTAGACACGTGCGTGTCACTATTTTATTTGTTATATTAGTGTATCATTTTAAATAAACTTACGTTTGTTCAGTGTCTGTCGACTTTTGGAAACATCAGCTCAGTTAGGGCTGATTTGAATGGTCATGAATGAACCATGCATACTTTCTTTTTCAAAACCGTAATGCCACCGAATTTGGAATAAACTTAATAAAACTGCACAACTGCAATAATGATTACGGGCTCAGAACACCATGACTCAGGACGAAACGATCAAGGACGACACTAGCAAAGGAGCTTCTAGCACTGAGGAGAAAATGAATATGAATCGGTTAGTCGCTTTTTTCCATCACTGAAGAGCCCTCGGGTGATGGGAAGAGTTCTTTTTGCAAAAAGTTGGGGGTAGTCAATCACTTAATGACCTTGGTGCTACATCCTTCCTAAGACTTTGGAAAAAAGCTGCACTTATCTGCTGAGAGACGTTCTTGTGCACCATGACTCGCCAGTCGGCCACCCCTCCTCTGTGCTAGCGTTCAGAGTAGACTATCAAGGCTCTCTGAGCGAATTCTCTAATACTTGTACTAGAATCGTTCGCTATATTCTTGAACTGCCTCTTTTTCCATAACCGTCCTACACAATATCATCTGATTGGTATCAGTCAAAGATTGCTTGAATTAAAAAAATGATGCTTGGAATTTTCTTGATTGGTACTTTTCTTCATACCTTTCTCTGATCACTTACACTTTGTTTTCTCTATCTGAACTAAGCTAGGATAGATATACATTATTCGGTACATTAACAATTTCCTGAAGGTTCGATTTCAAAGCCACCGTATTACCCTCAAATGCCTAATCTGACTTTGAATAGGAGTCAGCTTTGAAAAATCAATTTCCTACCGAATTTTTATCTTTCCTTAGTAGAATAGTCGTTAATGCTTTCTCACTGGCAAGGAAAAATTTAAAATTGTTTGTCAGTGAGCATCGAGTGCTCCCAGAATTGTCATTTGTTGTCTGATTCGTGCATGCATTTGAGTGGTACGTTTGCGTTGGATCGTGGATTCATTTGCTTCTGAGACGTTTCAGTACCTTATGAAGGCCCAATGGTAATACTGCCTAGGTAGCAAGTCAGTTGGAGTATTAGTTTGTGCGGAAAATATCTGTTGAAAATTTCACACACTCCAGTTTTTGCCAGTGATTTTCTGAAAGCTCCCATAGAGATACTATGAAAAGACGTTACTTATTTGGGTGAAAATGTAGTTGGGGGGGGGGGCACCCATAAAGGGCTGGTATATCAAGAAATGAACTCAGTGAAACGTGTTATGCCGTGTTATATCAAGGACATGCCAGTTTTCAACTAACCAATAAGGACTTTAGTAAGGAAGGAGCACCGCGGTGGGCAAGTTTTCTTTCATTTTTTCTTTTTTTTTTCGCATGAAGTAATTATACCAGCCATCCAGGTGCTCCTACCCACCTAGGCTTAGTTACAAAACTACACTTCTCCGCTGAAACCGCATAAAAAAGCACAGATGGTCGGTTCCAACATTCCCTCCGCTTGTAATACAGTGCTAGTATATTAGGGACTAACACGTTAGACTGTGTTCATTTCTTGATATACTATCCTTCTGATGGGTGCCCCCTCCCTAACAAAATTTTCACCCTTATTCGTATGTGCATAGTGTTGTATATCAGGAAACTCCATGATATTGTAATCGGTTGGCCAGGCCGAGGTCTACATTCGCCCTATCGTTTCTCCCTGAAGGTTAGATTAGGTAGAGGAGAGAATCGTCTAGAAAGGACTTTAAGGCCGAGTGCTCAGCACAACTTCCAATGATGTGTTTCGGTAGCGGGATGGCCCTAACCAAATTTGTAAAAGGACACCACTCGAACTTTGGGAAATAGTTCGGGAACAACATGGTATTAGGTTGATGCATAATTATTGCGGATTTTTTCGCTGCTTTTTTTCTCTCGATAGAATTTCAATATTGAGTTCGGGTTTTTTCTAGAAATGATCTACTTGATTTCCTCTACAAGAATATACTCAAAAAACCATCCGCATATTCGCAAAATTAGGCTTTACTACTTCGAGAAAGATTGGAAGGTGGCGCA